AGTTGATACATCTCTAAGAATGCACCCATTTCTTCCAGGTTCTCTAATTTGCTGGCATAGAGTTGCTCATAATACGTTCTTATAATTGTTTGTATTTCTTTGGTGTTGGTTGTGATCTCTCCTCCTTCATTCATGATTTTGTGGATTTGGGTCATTTCTCTTTTCTTTTTGATAAGTCTGGCCAGGGTTTATCAATCTTGTTACTTCTTTCAAAGAACCAGCTCCTTCCTTCGTTGATCTGTTCTACTGTTCTTTTGGTTTCTATTTCATTGATTTCTGCTCTGATCTTTATTATTTCTCTTCTCCTGCTCGGTTTAGGCTTTATTTGCTGTTCTTTCTCTAGCTCCTTTAGGTGTAGGGTTAGGTTGTGTATTTGAGACCTTTCTTGTTTCTTGAGAAAGGCTTGTATTGCTATATACTTTCCTCTTAGGACTGCCTTTGCTGTATCCCAAAGATTTTGAACAGTTGTGTTTTCATTTTCATTGGTTTCCATGAATTTTTTTAATTCTTCTTTAATATCCTGGTTGACCCATTCATTCTTTAGTAGGATGTTCTTTAGCCTCCATGTATTTGAGTTCTTTCCGACTTTCCTCTTGTGATTGAGTTCTAGTTTCAAAGCATTGTGGTCTGAAAATATGCAGGGAATAATCCCAAACTTTTGGTATCAGTTGAGACCTGATTTGTGACCTGGGATGTGATCAATTCTGGAGAATGTTCCATGGGCACTAGAGAAGAATGTATATTCCGTTGCTTTGGGATGGAATGTTCTGAATATGTCCGTGAAGTCCATTTGGTCCAGTGTGTCATTTAAAGTCTTTATTTCCTTGTTGATCTTTTGCTTAGATGATCTGTCTATTTCAGTCAGGGGGGTGTTAAAGTCCCCCACTATTATTGTATTCTTGTCAATGTGTTTCTTTGCTTTTGTTATTAATTGCCTTATATAATTGGTGCTCCCATGTTAGGGGCATAGATATTTACAATTGTTAGGTCTTATTGTTGGATAGACCCCTTAAGTGAGATATAGTGTCCTTCTTCATCTCTTATTACAGTCTTTGTTTTAAAATATAATTTGTCTGATATAAGAATTGCCACCCCAGCTTTCTTTTGGTGTCCATTAGCATGGTAAATGGTTTTCCACCCTCTCACTCTCAATCTGGGGGTGTCTTTGGGTCTAAAATGAGTCTCTTACAGACAGCATATTGATGGGTCTTGTTTTTTAATCCAATCTGATAGCCTGTGTCTTTTGATTGAGGCATTGAGCCCATTTACATTCAGGGTAACTATTGAACGATATGAATTTAGTGCCACTGTATTGCCTGTAAGGTGACTGTGACTGTATATTGTCTGTGTTCCTTTCTGATCTATGCTGCTTTTAGGCTCTTTCTTTGCTTAGAGGACCCCTTTCAATATTTCTTGTCGGGCTGGTTTTGTATTTGCAAATTCCTTTAGTTTTTGTTTGTCCTGGAAGCCTTTTACCTCTCCTTCTATTTTCAATGACAGCCTAGCTGGATATAGTATTCTTGGCTGCATATTTTTCTCGTTTAGTGCTCTGAAGATATCTTGCCAGTCCTTTCTGGCCTGCCAGGTCTCTGTGGATAGGTCTGTTGCCAATATAATGTTTCTACCATTGTAGGTTACATATCTCTTCTCCCGAGCTGCTTTCAAGATTTTCTCTTTGTCTCTGAGACTCGTAAGTTTTACTATTACATGTCAGGGTGTTGACCTATTTTTATTGATTTTGAGAGGGGTTCTCTGTGCCTCCTGGATTTTGATGCTTGTTTCCTTCCCCACATTAGGGAAGTTCTCTGCTATAATTTACTCCAATATACCTTCTGCTCCTCTCTTTCTTCTTCTTCTGGGATCCCAATTATTCTAATGTTGTTTCATCTTATTGTATCGCTTATCTCTCAAATTCTGCCCTCGTGATCCTGTAGTTGTTTCTCTCTTTTTCTCAGCCTCTTTATTTTCCATCATTTGGTCTTCTATATCGCCGATTCTCTCTTCTGCCTCATTTATCCTAGCAGTTAGTGCCCCCATTTTGGATTGCACCTCATTAATAGCCTTTTTGATTTCGACTTGGTTAGATTTTAGTTCTTTTATTTCTTCAGAAAGGGTTTCTCTAATAACTTTCACGCTTTTTTCAAGCCCAGCTAGTATCTTTAAGGTCATGATTCTGAACTCTAGGTCCGACATCGTACTAATGTCCGTATTGAGTACGTCCCTGGCAGACGGTACTACTTCTTGTTCTTTTTGCTGAGGTGATTTTTTTCGTCTTGTCATTTTGTCCAGAGGAGAACAGATGAATGAAAGAACAAAATGCTAACAGGTTAACAATGTCCCCAGCAAATATACTCTATACAAATCAGAAAAGACCTGAAACCAGGGGAAAAGAAAGGGAAAGAAAGAAAAAAGAAAGAGAAAAAAAAAAAAGAAAAAGATAAAAACAAAAACAGAACAAAACAAAAAAAAAACAGAATATGATCAAATATGATCAGGCTAGAGCATAGATCAGTGCCACACACTAGATTTTGGGTGTATTTTGGTCTGTTAGAAGAAAGTGCCTCCCAAAATTTTAAAGGAAGAAAGACATATATGTACAAAATAAGGGTTGATACAATGAAGGGATGGAAGATGACTGTAAAGATGAAAATTATAAAAGGTTTTATAAATGGAATTGATAAGATAAGAAGTTGTTTGAAAGAAGATTTAAAAAAAAAAAGAAAAAAAAAACAAGGGAGAGAGTGTGATCAGGCAGGAAACTAGAACAAAGCCATACACTAGTGATTTAGAGTATATTTTGATCTGTTAGAAGAAACTGTATCTCAAAATTTTAAAGAGAGAACTTATATATATATGCCAAAAATAAGGGACAAAATATGACTCTAAAAATGAAAAATAAAAAATGTTTTTTTAAAAAAGGGATTGATAAGATGTTGGTTGAAAAAGGGAAAAAGAAAAATTCAAAAAAAACCAAAAAACAATTAAAAAAATTAACTTTGAAAAACTAATGAATCATGGTAAAAAAGCCATGAATTCTATGTGCATTATTCCCCTAGCGCTGGAGTTCTCCCGTTCTCCTTGATCGGTAAACTTGGTCTTGGCTTGCTGGCTGTTCCTGCTGATCTTCTGGGGGAGGGGCCTGTTGCCGTGGTTCCCATATGTTTTTGCCGGAGGCAAAATTGCCCCGCTCTTGTCGGTTCAGGCTAAGCAAGCTGTTCGGGTTTGCTCTCTGGAGCTTTTGTTCCCTGCAAGCTCTTGATACAGCTTTGGAGGACCAGGGTGAAAATGGTGGCCTCCCACTCTCTGCCTGGAGGAGCTTAGAACCCGGAGCCCGCTTCTCAGTGCACCCCCAGAGAAAAGCAGTCAATCACTCCCCTCTCCCCGTTCTCGGGCCGCACTCCGTGCTCACCCGGCCTGTGACTGAGCATTTCTATCTCTGGCACCCGACCCCGTGTGGAGTCTCCAAACCCATCAGATCCCTGCGGTGTGCTCCCGTGCCACTTCTCCCCGGGGACAAAGGGGAGTCTCCCCAGCTCTGCTGCTTGTTGGGTCCCTGCTGGAGGCGCAGTGGCCCAACTGGGCCGCGGATCACAGTTTATGGCCACCCCAAGCTGAGAGCCCGCGCCTCAGCTCCGTCTCTGCAGCCGGCTTCCCCGCTCCGATACCTGGGAGCTCTGCTGCACTCAGGCATCCCCGGTCTTTCTGTGACCCCGAGGGTCCTGAGTCCACACTGTCACGCGAGGTTTCCACCTCCCACTTAGCCACTGGAGCGACGTCCCTCAGCGGAGCCAACTTCTAAAAGTTCCAATTTTGTGCTCCACAGCTCTAGGACTTGCCAGAAACAGACGACGGAGGCCCCCTCCCCCGCCATCTATCCTCCCTAATATCGCCTCAGATTCACTTCTCCCCACGTCCTACCTTCCAGTAAGCGGTCGCTTCTCTGTTCAATGAGTTGTTGCTACTCTCTTCTTCGATCTCCTGTTGAGTTCGTAGGTGTTCAGAATGGTTTGATCCCTATTCAGCTGAATTCCTGAGACCAGACGAAATCCAGGTCTCCTACTCCTCTGCCATCTTGCTCCGCCCCCCCCTTCTAATTATTTGTTAAAAGTTCCTCAGAATATAGATAATAGTATTGGTTTTGTCACCATCAAATTAAATGACTTGTTTAATTTAAAGCTTATCTCAGGTTACATGGTATCTTTTCTCCGAACGGTCCAAAGGATTCTGTTAGATTTTCAGCTTCTCAAGGGCACTACTGAATTTTTTATTCATATTTGTATCTGGGCCCTGAGCAGTTTATGGCCCACTGTAGGTCTTCATTAAGTGTTGAATTTACATAAGTAACTTTACATTTAAATTATCATGTGGAATAAGAAAAATGTTTAGAACTTAATTTAAATTACACAAACAGAAACTAAGATAAGCCTGAATTAAGAGACTTGCTATGATCACACACTGGAATGAAAGAACTAGTACTTCTAAACATTCTGAATTCTGATGTTAAGCTACCTGCTTTTTGAAATGGCATTTACATTTTCTGAGCCCAAAATTAAGATACATAGTATGACTATGAATTTTTTTCTGAATTTTAAATGTATAATTATGACATCTGTTTTTATAAACTGGATTACATTAGGACTGTCCTACAAAAAATATAGTTTGCTTAACTATTACCAATCTATCATACCAAACTAACTCTTAGATGTCTTACATGAAACTAATCATGTTGGTTTCAAAACTATGTGAATGAATACTCTTCCTCAGACTAGCACTTTCAATGACAAATTTTTTAATAACAAAGTTACTTTTACATAATTTTCTGGAGTGCCATGCCATAGATAACTACAGAGTTACAAAAAAAGAAAAATTTCTTGTAATTCTAAAACAGACATTACTCAGGGTTTTGACATACTTTTGATAAAAGTGATAAAAATGTGTTATGTATTTCTGTTACATTTCTGTTATCTGTTACAGAAGGAAATGTGAAGGTCCACTCTTACCTGCTTGAAAAGTTGGAGGTTAACTGCAGTTTCCAAGAACTGTTTCATCAGACTTGAGCGGTGCTTTACAAAACTCTCCTCACAGAAAGTGATGGGCTCACCCTAGACATAAATAAAGATTTTTAGGGTATCAATAGAAAGTCAGTCAGAGAGCAACAGTCTCTCTAAAAAGGCACATGGAGGGTCACGGAGGAAGTATAAGACACAGAATCAACTTCAAGATGCTGAAAGTCTAAAAGGAGTCAAAGAGACTCTTAGACAAAATAGCTGGATTTCAGCCTCGGAGAAATATTCCTCTACTGACAAGCTTCTACTAGAGCTTCCTAATCAAGGATCCCTGGGGTCTTAAAATTGCTCAGTTTCACTTCCTTAAACTAAGAATGAATCTCCTAAAAACAAAGGTTTAATATTATTAGATTGAATTATGAGTATTAAAAAGAGTATGCATAGCTGAAAAAAGTCAACTGCAGTTTTATCCTAATTAGAAAACATTCTTGCTATAAAAATTGCTGCATTTTTTTGCTATTTATATTTGATCATTAATTTCTGTTTAAATTAATTAGAAGTTCTTACAATAACATTCTCTTTGTCATTTCACATACAATTCTGGTATACTTTCTAGAATAAGTCCCACTTTGTACCTGCCTTAATTTATCCTATTTTTTAAGTAACCATAACTGCAAATTTCTTTTGGTAGCTTATGCTCCGTTAGCTTGCTCCTCCTCCAAATTATCAAGAACTTAAATTCTGAATACAGATTCCACTCATTCCATTTATTCCCATACATGACATCAGAAAATTGTCACTCAGTGGCTGATTCCTACCACCTGCTACTTCCCTCAGTAGCCTGAATGGTCCTCTTGCCCATTCAATACATGTGAAGATAAGTGATCCAAATGAATATGAGATAATATAATCCAAATGAAAACTGAGATAAGTGACAATGATTCACTCATTATAATGAATCTTGCAGCCATCTCTATGTTGGCAGTAAAAAGGAAAAAAGCTCACCTTCTAATAGAACTTTGCAAAAATATTAATTTAATTTTAAGGACAACTTAATGCCTTGATTACAGGTATCTATAAATAAAATTCTGAAAATTAGCTCCTGCATGAATAAAATGAGACTAATAATCTAACAGTAATTCAACTGTTACCACTAGCTAATGGAAGCTAATGATACTGTGAATCTGCACTGTTCAAAACAGTAGCAATTAGTCACATGCTGCAATTTAAATTTAAATTTATTAAAATTAAATAACACTAAAATTTTAGTTCCTCAATATACTAGCCACATCTGAAATGTTCAATTGCCACAAGTCAGTGGCTACTATTAGATAACACAAATACAGAACATTTCATTTATCAAAAAGTCTTCTTGAACAGCACTGCTACAGAAGAAAATAAAATTCAAACACATTATTAGAGAAGACAACCAATAATCTATTAATTGTTGTCACCTAATAGCAGCCACCAGCCAATACCTCATAATAAAATTGCTATTATGCATTTTGATACTGATTATTGCCATTCTTAACTGCCATAGGATGATTTTAAATTATATATTTTAAAAATTAGATTATATATATTTTATATAATCAAAAATCACCATATTTGCCACTATCATAGAGTTTACAACTTAGAATCTATTGGGGTGGGGGGTACAACAAACAGGAAGAGAAAGGTCTATTGTTTTTGCATCCCTGGTATCTAGTTACACTGGGAGCCCAAAAATGTTTTATAAGTCAATAAACAAAGTAGCAAGTGATCTAAACTTTGCTCCATATCATTTATTTTCTTTTCAAAAGTAAAAACAAATTTTAAAAATAAATAAAATCATTGTTTTTAATGGCAGTCCCAACTATACCACATTATTACAAAGTGATCAGTACTACTGATAATTTTAGTTTTTATTTGACAGATTTTCTCTAACATGTGAGTTGTAGTTTATTAGCATCTATGATTTTTCCAAAAGTTGTCACTACTACTGCGGAACAGTATTAATTGAAATACAAAGGTCTATCTTCAACTGAAATACTTCTCAATTCAAATACACAGTTCTATCTCCAACTGAAGAGTTTAGACTTTCTATGTTACAATCAAGCATTTCTTTTGACTGGAAGGAGTGGAGGACAAGGGGATGGAGAACTGCAAAGTGAAGGCAAATGGATGAGAGGAAAGTCTACCTGTGCTTTCTTAAGAGTTGGGCATAACTTAGTTTTTAGCCAGTATGACTTATGCTGGCAGAATCCTGTCCTCATTAATCTTCTAGCAACTGCTTTCAATCTCTCAAGAGAAATAGTAAAGAGAAAGTTCAGATATGCTGTCCATCCAGTTTTGATAACACCAATCATAGTAAAAGCTTTGAACTTAACCTTCAAATGATTAACACAGCCTGTTTACCTAGAGTCTCTAATAATAACAAAAAAGACAAAGCCCTGACACATATTAGAATTTTCTCTCAGGGAAAAGAAAAATAAGTCTTGATTAACAATGTTCTAAATTTTTACATATTAATACACAGGAGTCTCAGTTATTGTCATGCTGGGGTGTATGCTATCAAACAAATTATAAATGACTCCCCAGTATGAGTTCTTTTAAATCTGAGTCAAGTTGAATAGCATGATAAGGAACTCTGCTTAGGATCTTCTGATTTACTTATGATGTGGTTAAAAATCAGGCTTAGGATTGAGTGGTTTTCAAAAACTTTTCTTGCTCCAAGTAGAGTGACTATATGTCCAGTGTTGCCCAGTTAATTCCCATTTCACTGAAGTATAAAAGATTTCATTTAGGGGTACTTCACAGAGGAAGTGGCTTCACAGAGGAAACTGAGCTGGTTTTGAAAACTAATGGAAGCCTTTTGAAACAAACATGGAAAATATAGTCTTGAGAGAGGCAGGTATAGACAGAAAGTGGGTAGTGTGTTTGGGATAGGTATGCATTAGAGAAAATGCCAGAAGAAGATATTAAAAGACTGGTTGAGGCCTAGTGGCTAATGGATATGAATTAGAAAGTACCAGAGAGAAGAAATAAAAGGTAGGTCAAGCCATATTGGAAAAGGCCTAGGTTATATTCTAAAGTTCTTTTCTTTTTTTTTTTTTAACCTTATGGGAGGTATTAGTTTTCTTTTTTATTTATTTGAGAGAGCAAGCGAGTGAGCAAGAGATTGAGAGAGTGAGTGGGGAGAAGGGCAGGGGGAGAAGCAGACTCCCTGTTGAGCAGGGAGCCCAACATGGGACTCGATCCCAGGACCCTGAGAGCATGACCTGAGCCGAAGGCAGGCGCTTAACCGACTGAGCCACCCAGGTGCCCTAAAGTTATATTCTCAAAGACATCAAGAAGCTCACAGAATGTCCACTCAATGAAGTAACAAGATTGTATGTTTCAAAGCAAAGTTAAGGGGGGCCTAGGTGGCTCAGTCAGTTAAGCATCTGCCTTCGGTTCAGGTTTTAAACTCATGGGTCCTGGGAATCGAGCCCTGTGTCAGGCTCCCTGCTCAGTGGACAGTCTGTTTCTCCCTCACCCTCTACCCCTCCCCCCCATTCGTGCTCTCTCTCTCTCTCTCTAATAAATAAATAAAATCTCTAAAAAAAAATAAAAGGAAAGTTAATACGCAAGAGGAAACAATGGAAATAGGCAGACCAAGTAATAGTGCAATACCAATCAGGCAAGAAAAGATGAAATGGGCAGTAGAAAGGAAAAGTGATGACTACCATTAGCTAACATTGATCGGGCACTCATTACTATCACTAATAATAACAATAGCTAATATTTACATAATGCTTATTATGGGCCAGGTACTCTTCTAAGCACTTTACATGTATTAATTCACATAAACCTCAAATTTACTGTTGTCTTACTTTATACATAACTAAATTAAAATATAGGGAAGGGTTAAGTAATTTGCTCAAGATTACATGTATGTAAGTTGTAGAAGCCTGATTCAGACTCAGTCTATGCTTCCAAATTATCCAATTTCTGAGTATTCAAGACTACATGAACTGTTTTATTTATTCGTATTATTCTGTAAAAGTACAATTTTACTGCAAAATCAACAGGACTGTTTAGCAACTGATGTACAGCAGTGGGTACTCAAAGCATGGTCTAGGAACTCAGACCTTTTCACAGGGTCTGCAACATCAAAACTATTTTCATAACAATGCTAAAACATTATTTGCCCTCTTCACTTTTATTTTCTCATGAGATCCAATGGAAGCTACATGACTGGTAATATTGCAACAGACTGAAAGCAGAACCAATATGAGAATCCAGCCCTCTTCTTTTAAGCTACATAATTTTGAAAAAATATAAAACAATGCCATTCTTCTATTATTTTTTGTTTAGAAATAGTTATTTCTCATAAAAATGTTTCATGTTTATCTGTAGTAGTTTTATATTGTTTTTAAATAACAAATATTTAAAATATTTCCAGTTTTAATTTCTAATATGGTAAATAGTGAAAGATATAGGCCACATAAACAAAAGTTCTTTAAAGCCCTTGATAATTTTTATGAGTATAAAGACATCCAGAGACAAAAAGTTTAAGAACTACAGATATGCAGAAACAAGACAAGCAGGGGTCAAAGAGGACTTCTGGATTTCAAACTTGAGGATCAAAAGATGGATGATACCATTTATTAAAGACCAGAAATACAGAAACAAACCAGATTTAAGAAGAAGTTGATAAAATAAATTTTAGCATATGTCTTTAGTCAGATTCTAAGCTGAGCCTGAGACAAGGATTCTAGTTTAAGTGATTCGCTGGTGGAGAACTCTCAGAAAGTAACTATTATGGGACGCAAAATAGGGCAGAAGAAAAAAGCCGAGCAACAATGTGATTTCACTTGGAAATCAGCCTCAGTTTAAATCTATGAGAAATCATAGATTTAATGTATTGGCAAAGTTATTCCCATCTTGAAAAAGAGACCAGTTTCTCACACCCTTTATCAGTCAGTCATTAGGCATGGTCTTCCCTGGTGGGAGGAGTGGGGAGAAGAATGGAGGTGCCTGGGAAGGCCCTCCCTACTTAGCCAAGGGCAGTTTTTCTCTGAAAAGGATGCCAGCCAGTATAGGGGATCTGGTGAGGGTACCAAAAATGCCCA